AGTCCTGGCGGGGGACGTAAGATGTGCCTGCCCCGTCCCAGATTTCCTGTCCCCCCTTTTTTCCTATGAGGTTTATTGGGGCAGGTTTTTTCTGGGCACCCTGGTACGCTTACGTGTAGCCTTAGTTTAATTACCTTGATGTAACTTTGTTCATTTTGGCTATCATTTAATCGGGTTTATGGCGTTACTCCCAGGCCGTACCCAATATTCTCCAGTATTTGTTGGCTATTTTTGTGTCTTATTTTCTACTTACTTCTGGTAAGTGCAGAAAATCAGGGAAGGCCCTTATTAGGTATATAATTAGGTATATAATTGTACAATCAATTGAGTATAAATAATGATTATTGCTTAATGTATTACTTTTTATATTCCTTTTTCCCTCTTAGTAAATCTTAAATATAGTATGCTAGCTTTTAATAAATATTTTCCTCGTGAAATCATGTGGTAGTGACCATCTCAAAAGCAATTGCTACTATGGACACTACACACTTCTCCCTTTCCTACAATATGTAAAACTCTCTTCTCTCTATTTTCTCCTTTTATTTTATCTCACATGTAGTTAATGATATAAATGGTGTAAAATAAAGGTGATGATGATGATGAGGTATGCTATGCACACAATGTTTTCACGATGAAATATACTTCCTTGCATTTAGACCGTTATTATTACAATTTCCTAATATATCTTTCTAACACGTGTATCAATTGGCATGTACTTATCACCCTTGGGAAGGGGGGCCTCCTTAAATAAAAGGGACTGGGGTGCTCATTGTACCTTTTAGGGGTTAAAAAAAAGTGGGTTTGGTACTCCTCTTAGGCTGTTCAGCCTCAAAAGGTCCACAGTAGCAGCTTCTGTGATACCTTTTAGGGCATGGCACCAAAAATATGTGAGAGTGCGTTGTTGTAGAATTGGTGGCTCTCACGGGTGAAAAAATATTTTATGCCACGCTCGCAAACCAGGACCTTGGTACCTCCTTAATATTTCTTTTAGAACCTCTGCGCACCATGAATGGTCAACACTCATAACAGCACGTCTCCCTGTAGCCCGACTTACGATCTTGGATCGTCTTGTTAAAGGGAAAGTA